ATCCTCTGCAGTGTAAAATGTGTGGAATCTTGGATATCCACCTTCCTTCGTGTCCCCTGCTATTCAAAACATAAAAAGAAGTCTCCCCAAAAGAGGGGTTAGGGGTGGGATTGATCGCTCAGAGGTCTCTCGTCCAGGGGGGACCCTTGACTAAAGGATAGAGTTTGCATCAAACATCCCTTGACATCGGCGACCAGCTGCACGATTGATTCAACTGGTAAGGAAGCTTGTTTGTAAATTGTATGCTTGCTTGCCTGCTCGCCTGCTTGCCTGCTTGTCTGCTTGCCCTTCAATGCTTTTTTTCCCTCTCCCCCAGTTTTACTTGATCATCATTTTTCGATCTTCGAAACAATCTACCGGTAAATCTAGATGGTTTTGTTTTAAATACTGCCTAGTGCTTGCTACTTGCTACTTGCTATTTGCTACTTGGTACCTTTGCTAAAACCCACTAACTAGTATCCGTCTAGGTACCTAGGTAACGGGGATGCTCTACAATTTGCAAAACCCGTACTGCAGGTGGCTCTCTTCCAACGACTTCAAAGCCTTGAACTTATTAACCATTTATTAAACATCCTAGACTGACAGATGTCAATCCATCTTGTTTCTTGCTTTCATCTAAATCATATATTTCACCTCTGTTTCTCCACTGCTACCGGTATCTCTATTGCACCGTCAAGTCAAGTCAATTTGATTAGACCTTCTGTTTTACATGCTTATTCCTAGCACGCACTTTTATTCTTCATTAACTGCTCAAACTTGTGACCGAGGTGTAATCGGGGGAATAAAGCTTGTTCTAGCTTGTCTCATCGGAGCTGTTACCGAGTTGTAACTTCATGTATGAGTTTCAGATCTAAAGCACAGCCATTTGTCCATATCGCATGGGTTTTAGAGCCTCGTCCCATATATCGTTTACTGTATATTCACATCATCTTGTCCCTTTCCTCGAATTTCCTCTGTTCGAAACTTTGGATGATCAATTGTGAGCTGGAAGGAAACAAAGTATTCAGTCAAACCTATTGTTATATCAAGGGTTCATCTTGTCAAAGAATAAACAAAGTCAAGGTATATCAAGATGGTATACTGTGGAAAGCCTTCACGGGGCTGCCAGATGTGCAGAACTCGAAGGATAAAGGTGTGGTCTTTAACGTTGTCTATCACGGAGAACTTTTGGTTTGCTAATATCATCCTCATAGTGTGATGAAACCAAACCCACTTGCAACCAGTGTCAAAAATCAAGACGACAATGTCCAGGATACAAGGATGACTTCGATCTTGTCTTCCGTAATGAGACAAAAGCTACAGAAAGACGAGCACGACGATCATTAATGAACAAGAGGGGCAGCAACAACAACACCCAGATCGGATCAGTGAATAGAAGTGATGCAACTCGCAAGTTTTCAATTGTCTCTAACTCAAGTTCCAACGATGCCGAAATCGTGTATTCAACGACTGGAATGGAGCTGGCCAAGATTGAATCCGATGGCGATGATTCTTCATCTTCAGATGCCCTAGGATTACAAGTGGCCTTCACTAGTCCTATCGAGCAACAAGCACCGTGTTATTTCATGTCAAATTTCGTCATCATACCACAAAGCGGACAAATACGAGGCTCGTTTGACTGGGTATTACCATTGATCAAGACGGAAGCTTCTGACTCGGCGTTGTCACTTTCCTTCCAAGCTGTGGCCATGGCTTCTTTAGCAAATAAACCAAATGCAAGAGGAAGCAATTTGATGTATTTAGCTATTGAGAATTACGCCAAGGCGTTGAAGGTTGTTAACTTGGCGCTACAAAATCCAGTACAACAAAAATCCGATCAGACACTAGCTTCGATTATATTACTGGGATTCTTCGAAACCATTACTCAAGAGAAAGCGAGTATCACGGCTTGGGGATCACATATCGATGGAGCTGTACAAATAGTGAAGATGAGAGGGAAGAAACAGCTAAGGACGAAAGTTGGTGTTGCTTTATTCCAAAGTGTTCGAGGACAAATGGTATGCCAGTTGCCCCTCCTTTTAGTGGATTCGATACTAATATGCATTTAGCTTGTCAACTGTCTATCTTCATCCAAGACTCCTATGCTAGGCGCCGACTGGTGGTGCGCTGATTCTCAGAAAGATGAAGGGGCTGCCTTTGTCAACAGATTAAACCTACAAGTAGCCGAATTGCGTGGCGATCTGAATAGAATACTAATGTCACATCCCCGGTCACCGGAAACTACCGAATTAGTCACTGAGATTATGCATCGTGCTCTAGAGCTAGAGCAAGAGTATCAGAGATGGGAAGAAACGCAAACAAAACAAACAGTGGCATGGGTGGATAATATTCCCGGTGGTGATATAACAAAAGCCGATGTGTGTCCTGGACGAGTTGACCTCTACCCCGATATATTCGCCTGCTCAGCATGGAATTTCTCCCGTGTATCAAGGATATTCATCGCTGCAATAGTTATCCGTTGTGCAGCATGGACATGCTATCCCGTCGACTACCGAACCACGCCGGAATACGCGCAAATGTCGAGGATGGGCCAGGACTTGATTTGTGATATCATCGCTTCTATTCCTTTTATGTTTGGGTGGCATTTAGATGCCGAGGGAAGACTGAAACCGGGAGATCCTATGAGTGGTAACGATGCCACGGGTGTCAAGGCGTTAGGAGGGGCTTATGCAATTTGGCCGCTGTTATCAGTTAGCTGTAGTGATTTCACGACGGATTCGCAGAGGTTGTGGATTAAAGGACGACTCAAATTCATCTCGGAAGTCATGGGCTTGAACCAGGCAAAGGTTGTTAGTACTGTAAGTTGCTTCTTTCCCTTGGCCCTCTCATCTACCATCTCACAAGCATACAAAATTAATGCTAACACACAAAAGCTCCAACTCCGTCTCCCATCTATGATCGTCCGCCGCGATAACATGGGCTACGCACCAGCGAACGCAACGAACTCCGTTAGACCGTCAGGTAAACCGGCAATTATGCCCACGCTCCCCCCTTCCATTTCGGCACTCAATTTTCAACAACGCGAAGCTATGAAGAGGGAAATGTGGGAACGGGAACGGAAAGCTGCGATGGAGAAGGTGAGGGAGGAACAGCAGCAACGACAACAACATTTGGGAAGGAGTGTGTTGGAGACTAGTAGTGGGAATGTAGGGGGAGGAGGGGGATTAAATGGGATTGGAGCGATGAACGGAAATGGGTTAAATAGCAATGTCATGTTTCAATATCAACAGAGTAAATATGGGTTGGGCCTGAGTGGGAACGGGGTAGGAAATGGAAATGGGATGCAGAAAACGGGAGAGGTGGGTTGGAAAATTAGTAATGAGCAGGGGAAGAAATACGCGTGGTTGGAGGGGTTGGGATGGTGGGAGACGACGGTTTGATGTGGGGGTTGGGGAGAGCGAAGTTTTGGATCGGGGTGGGTTTCTTTGGGTGCTGGGTACTGGGTACTGTGCTTTGTAATGGTGCTGGGGTGGGAATGGGAATGGGAATGGAAGGGGTTCGGATTGAAATGGGATGAAGGAAAGGGAAGGGGTGAATGGAGCGTATGGATTTGTTTTGGTTTGACTTGGTTTTGATTTTGGTCACGGAAAGGAAAGGAAAGGAAAGGCAAGGAGCGGAGAGGAAAAGTCCTCGGGTAAGGCGTATACTAGGTATTGTTTACTTTTGTACATCTTGTACATTTCTGTCTTTTACTTTATATTTACAAGACAGTCAGTCAGTCAGTCAGGTAGTAGGCAAAAACTCGGGGTTGTATGGATTTTGGTGCTAAGGTATTCTTTTAAGGAGTTTATGGAGTAGTATAGGGTAGAGAAGGAGGGGGGTTGTTGTCTATTGTATATATATATATTTACTTGTGGAATATATTTATATATATATGTGTGTGTGTGTGTATGTATGTGTGTGTATCTATATATGTCTGTATATATTTATTTATGGAATATATATATATATATACATTATTTTATATTATATTATTTTATTTTACATAGATACTCGAGACTTGAGATTCGAGAGGAATAAATAAATAGAGTAGTATGAATTAAGTAAAGTAAAAGTAGAGCATATTATATTAAAATCAAGAAATTCTAATTCTATTTTGTTCTATTTTATTATGTGGTGTAGTATGGTTTGTATGTGGTGAGGAGGGGTGGGAGGTGGTGGAGGAGTGGGAGGTATGAGAGATGGGAGATGGGAGGTATGGGAGGTATGAGAGGTATGGGAGGTATGGGAGGTATGGGAGGTATGGGAGGTATGGGAGGTATGGGAGGTATGGGAGGTATGGGAGGTATGGGAGGTATGGGAGGTATGGAATGCTCTGTATGAATAGAGAATTCACAATATAAAATCTAAATCTAAATAAAGTTTGCGGATGAAGTGGGGATGGCTGAAAGTGATGGAGGAAAGTGATGGAGGAAAGGAGAGAGATATGGGGGTGAATGGATAGGTAGATGGGTAGATGAATAGATGGGTAAATGGGTAGATAGGTAAATGGGTAGATGGGTAGATGGGTAAATGGGTAGATGGGTAGATAGATAGATGAGTAGATGGGTAGATGGATAAATGGGTAGGAGATAAGAACTAGGGGTTAAAAGTTGAAAGTTGAAAGTTGGAAGTGGTAATTGATTTTATCTAGTGGTTGTTTAGGAGGAGGAGGGGGAGTTGAGGTAGGAGTAGGGGGACTAGGAGTAGGGGGAGTAGTGAGATAGGTAGGTATAGGTTTGGGTGTAAATATAGATTTGAGTTTGGGTTTGGGTAAAGATATAGATATAGATATAGATATAGATATAGATATAGATATAGATATAGATATAGATATAGATATAGATATAGATATAGATATAGATATAGATATAGATATAGATATAGATATAGATATAGATATAGATATCAAGATGGGTAGATACATAGATCTGTATATTAGGCTTACACGAGGAGGATTGTAATATTGTGATGTGATATTATGAATTATGATTTTGTATACGATGTGTGAGATAGAAGTAATCATTCCCGACTCTCTGAATGCATTCATTCAGGGTTCAGAAGAAGGTTGTTGATTCGATATCTAGATAGGCTTTTGAATGTCGACTTGTAGTTTGCATTTTCTTGGGGAGTTTGGGTATTATTTGACTGGGAAAACTTTACGAATGAATGACATTGCGACTATCCATGTTCACTTCTCAAATTTTACGCGAGATGAGGAGGGTGTGAGATTCTGATTTCAGAATGAGTATGGAATTTGTATAGCTTTGCTATATATCTAGTATCATAACCCTTCTATGAAGAGGCTCCATGAGGAAACACTCATACGTGTCGTCGTAAAATCAGTATTCGTGAACCGGTGAAGAGAGCGAGATGAAATGAAATGCCAGATAGGTATATGAGAATCCCAATGAAAATGAAAATGGAAACATCTGATCAACACCCATGTGTTCCGTAAATCCAACGTTTGCGCAATTACAAGTAATGGTGGTCTGGAGCTTCAGATGACCTCTACCCTTTCAACCCAGCCCGGCAACCGGAGTTGGAAGATGAGCGAGTACTGTAGATCTGTAATATAGAAGTATCGATGAATGCCCCATCCATCGATCCTTTCCCAAGGTTTCATGCTTTGCGCAGCTGAACGACTATTGGAGAGTATTCTCTGGTTTGGTTCAGAGAATCTAGTAGTGAGGAATTTGAAAACGAATACGATAATACAAAATGTGAAGAAATAGATTTGGGATATTAGCGAGACTTGCGCCGAAGGGGGCTTAATTTATCTGTTGGATGAGGAGCGAGAATATCTGAAGGGGAAATTAGTTACTTTCTGAGAGTATGGTGTTTGGAAGGAGGACGGAAACAACAAGAGGAGACCTGGAAGCATAAATTCCATAATTATTCCACCCGCTCTTCCCTCATTCTCTTCGGCGCATGGAAAGAGAAAGAGCAAACTTACGGTTTCCTAGATTCTACTTTCCCGCCATTTCCATTGTCCTTGGGGCTATTCCAGCCCAATCTTGATTGATACGCAGGCCATGTACTTAGATTCCAAGCCTTAACCAAGAAGCCTTGGGTTTTATCCACGTAATTTTCATTTTTCAACTCTTTCACTCCAACTTTGACGCCGTCTTTGGTAAACGAAACATTCTTGGACGCCATTTTGTCTGAGGCAGATTTCGAGACTTGTTGCGTGACGAGATAGACTTGGTAGGCGACGAATGCAAATGCGCCGAGGATGATGAGGAAGATGAGGAGAGGGAGCAGCTTGCTGTTGGTTGGGAGCATGGTTAGCTATTGTCTTGAGGTGTTTGACGTTCTACATATTCGATTTGATTTGACTTGATGTGTTGATGGAAGGTAGAGAATAGAGAAGAGTAGGTTTGACAAGATTTCCTGGTGTATGCGACCAAGTTCCAAAGACAAAGAAATATCTGGTAACAGCTGGACATACCTTAAAGCAGAGCGGGGTGGTGGAGGGGACGTTGATGAAGATCCCCAAGCCATTGTTTTGTTGTGTGTAATGGAATAAATGGAATTATTATGGGTATAGAATGTATCGATCTTTGGGGTCGTCTTTCAAATGGAGAATAGGTATAGATTCGAACCACCAAATTGGATGTTGGAGAAGGATATGTGGTATGTGTGGTATGTGTGGTATGTGTGGTATGTGTGGTATGTGTGGTATGTGTGGTATGTGTACTGGTAGATGATAAGTTTCAGATTGAAGGGCTGCAAGTTATATTGCGATTGTTAATTTAGGATATTTATCCTGGTAAAACGTAAAACGTAAAACATAAAACGGAAGACGGAATACGGAATACGGAGAGGGATTTTAGGGATTTTAGGGATTGGGGGATTGGGGGATTGCGCAGTCATCAATTAGATATATAGGCTCATCGGTCCCTATGGTCCTAGGTAGTGATTCCAAATTTAGGGGGTCATAGTGCAAGTACCTAGGTAAGATAGGACCCCAACACAGCCCGGATAATCATTCTCGACACTGTAAGGCTACTGGACAGGCTACCGTGGTCTGCTTGTCTGCTTGTAATAACCTCCAGCTGCCCTTGCCTTGTACTCTAACACGTGATGCTGCGGGACAAAATCATTTGGGTGAGGGCAGTTTTGGTGGAGGGTGCACCAACCAGGTGGGCGTGTGTGAGATGTTTGGCCCGTCGGTGGGCGTAGAATGATGAAAGCCGAAAGGCCAGGATTCCTTTCAGAGAGTGACCAGCCCAAGTCCAAAACTTGAGAATCTCAACCCAAATTCATATCATACATATCCTACCTATGCACAAGTTCAATTCAATGTCATGAATGAATTGATTATAATTTTCCAATCTTCTCTTATTGTCTAGAACTACCCCTGGTCTTTTTCACAATCGGTTCGGATCGCATCTACCCAGGAAGCTCTTTCTTAGCAACGTGTTCCTTGAGACTATCAACTATCGTAGATCTATCCAAGAATTCTAAGCTTGGGTATTGTATTGACTTGACACCTTCCATCCATACTCGACCTACCCCTCGAACAGGACAACATCAAGCTTTCCAAGGGCGACTACCAATTTTCTTGCGCCACTGCACCACATTTTAAATCTCGGAACCGCTGCCCCAGAGAATTAAAACAATAGCAAATATGGCGGCACCACAAGATGGATATCCAGGCCAAGCTTATCCCCCTCAAGATCCATACGCACAGCAAAGTCCCGCGCAGCCAGGCTATGAACAACCAGTGACTTCTCCCACACAACAAGCCGGTCCACCAGGAGCAGATGCCGGAAAGAAGAAGAAGAGGGGTTATGCGACACAAGCTTATGATTTTGGTCAAGGTGCGAATTCCGCCTTGGGAGGACAAACACATGGTGGTGCTCAATTTCAACCCGCACAAGCACCTGCTGCATATGGTGGATATCAAGCTCAACCAGATCCCGCTGCTGCATATGGAGCTCCACAAGCTGGCATGGCCGGCGCTCCTCAAGGTGGTTTCTCTCAACCGCAATACGGCGGCGGTGTGGGGGGCTATCAACCTCCTGATGCTGGATATCCTGGTCCAGGCACACCGGTTACTCCTGGTGTAGCGGGCATTACTCAAGGAATGGGGCAGATGGGAATGGGTGGACCGCAACAGCCTGTTGCGGCTCAAGCTCGTCCTGGTGGTGTTCCAGCCCAGGTTGCGTTGAATCAGCTTTATCCTACAGATCTCACCAACCAACCTTTCAATGTCGCAGAGTTGGACTTACCTCCTCCTCCGATCATTTTGCCTGCAAACGTAAGTTTGAACGTCAATTTTATGGAATTCTATGCTAATGCTTAAATAGTCAAGTGTTACCCCTTCCCCAAATGCGAATTGTCCACCAAAATATGTGAGATCCACTTTGAATGCGGTTCCTACGACCAATTCTCTCCTCAAGAAATCGAAACTTCCTTTCGCATTAGTTATACAGCCATATACTTCGTTGCACGATGTCGACGATCCAGTACCAGTTGTTCAAGATCAAGTCATTTCACGTTGTAGAAGATGTCGTTCATACATCAACCCATATGTTTCATTCCTCGACCATGGCCACAGATGGAGGTGTAATATGTGTAACCTCACAAACGACGTTCCACAAGCTTTCGACTGGGATGCAGCTGCACAACAAAGTGTTGACCGATGGCAACGACCGGAGCTTAACCACGCAGTTGTGGAATTTGTCGCACCACAGGAATATATGGTTAGACCTCCACAACCACTGGTCTATCTCTTCTTGTTCGACGTCAGTTTTGCTTCTGTATCTTGTGGCTTGTTGGCTACTAGTGCCAGGACTATTCTCGACAGTCTTAACAGGATACCAAATGCGGATCGAAGAACACGAGTTGGATTTATGGCTGTAGACTCCAGTTTACATTACTTCCAAGTTCCAAAAGATACGGAAGAGAATGGCGAGACAAATATGCTTGTTGTTAGTGATCTGGAGGAGCCTTTCCTTCCAGTTCCTCAAGAGCTATTGGTACCATTGTCTGAATGCAGATTGAATGTAGAGAAATTCCTCATGACCCTTCCTCAAATGTTCCAGACCAATACAAACAATGGATCATGTATGGGTTCAGCTCTCCGTGCTGGTCACAAACTTATCTCTCCTCTTGGTGGAAAGATTGTTGTAATCACTGCTTCATTACCTAATGTTGGATTTGGCAAATTAGAGATGCGCGAGGATAAAAAGCTACTGGGTACATCAAAGGAGAGTGGTCTATTACAAACAGCCAACAGTTTCTACAAGAGTTTTGCGGTTGAATGTTCAAAGAACCAAGTTTCCATCGATATGTTCTTGTTCTCATCACAATATCAGGATGTTGCTTCTCTTAGCAACCTTCCAAGATACACTGGTGGACAAACCTATTTCTACCCTGGATGGAATGCTGGAAGAAGCGAAGACGCTATTAAATTCGCTACCGAGTTCAGTGATTACCTATCTGCTGAAATTGGTCTTGAGGCAGTGTTACGTGTTCGTGCTACTACTGGTCTCCGAATGAGCACCTTCTATGGTAATTTCTTCAACCGAAGTTCGGACCTATGCGCCTTCCCAGCCTTCCCTCGCGATCAAAGCTATGTTGTTGAAGTTGCTATCGATGAGTCTCTCACCAAGAACTTTGTTTGCATGCAAACGGCCGTCTTGCACACTACAAGTAACGGAGAGCGTCGTATTAGAGTCATGACTTTGTCATTACCTACAACGACTAATCTTCAAGATGTTTATGCATCTGCTGATCAATGCGCAATCACTACTTACTTCAGTCATAAGGCTGTTGAGCGTGCATTGAGTGGTGGTCTTGAGCCTGCACGTGAAGCTCTCCAATCGAAATTGATTGAGCTTCTTCAAACATTCAAGAAAGAACTTGCAGGTGGAAACATGGGTGGTGGTGGACTTCAATTCCCTGCCAACCTTCGTGGATTACCAGTTCTTTTCCTTGGTCTCATCAAGAATGTTGGACTTCGAAAATCGGCCCAAATTCCTTCGGATTTGAGATCTGCGGCTCTTTGCCAATTATCCACACTTCCTCTTCCACTCTTGATGCAATACATCTATCCACGTCTGTACTCATTACACGATATGCCCGATAACGCCGGTATCCCCGACCCGGAAACAAATCAAATCGTTCTTCCTCCACCAATGAACCTTTCATCGGAACGTCTCGTCCCATTCGGTCTCTATCTTATTGATGACGGTCAAACACAATTCCTTTGGGTCGGCCGCGACGCCGTTCCTCAATTGTTAGCCGATGTATTTGATATTTCGGATCGCTCGAAACTCAAGGTTGGGAAAGCGACGCTACCGGAATTGGATAACGATTTTAGTGAGAGAGTTAGAAATGTGTTCCAGAAAGCGAGAGATTATAGGAGTAGAGGCGTCGGCAGTATTGTCGTGCCGCATTTGTACGTGGTCAGAGAAGATGGCGAACCGTCGTTGAAATTGTGGGCGCAGACGCTGTTGGTCGAGGATAGGGCGGATCAGGGAATGAGCTTTCAGCAGTGGATGGGGATGATGAGGGAGAAGGTTAGTTCTTAGGTTGTGAGTTTGTGGGAGGGTGGGGATAAGGTGTGGAAATGGAATTCAGGACGGGGTGGTTGGGTGTATGGATGAATGAATGGATGGGGTGGATGCATGGATGCATGGATGCATGGATGCATGAATGAAAAGAGAATGGTGCGAGAAAAATGATGATGAAGGAGTGAGAATGAATTGAATTGAATTGAATGTAAGAGGAATCAGATGATGTGATGTATACATGAATGGAGTGAACGTCTTAATTTTGAACGTGGAGATTTTCTTTCTTTCTTCTCTTCTTCTCTTTCTTTTCTTCTGCCTATCTACCTACCTACCTACCTACCTACCTACCTACCTACCTACCTACCTACCTACCTACCTACCTATCTACCTACCTACCTACCTACCTACCTTCCTACCTACCTTCCTACCTACCTTCCTACCTACCTTCCTTCTTCTAATTACATCCGTAAGAGATACAAGATGAATTAATTGATTTGGTTAAGATACCTATATACGGATCGAAGAAGGAAGGAGTTCGATTAAGCAAATGATTTATTTCAAATTTTTAATTTTTTTAATTTTCAAACAATCAATTTTTTTTGGGGTTTTTTTTGGTTTTTCTGTGTTTTACTCTTTATATGATTTTGAAATGTAGATTTTGAGATGTAGATTTTGAGATGTAGATTTTGAGAAGTAGATTTTAAGATGTAGATTTTGAGAAGTAGATTTTGAGATGTAGAGTTTGATGTAGATTTTGGGACGTAGATTTTAAGATGTAGATTTTAAGATGTAGATTTTGAGATGTAGATTTTGAGATGTAGATTTTGAGATGTAGAGTTTGATGTAGATTTTGAGAAGTAGATTTTGAAATGTAGATTTTAAGATGTAGATTTTAAGATGTAGATTTTGATATAAATACCTATTCCAACAGTGATCAAGATATAATTTCATTTCATATCATCATTTTTTGTTTCATTTATTTATCTATGCACATGTGTGTGTGTATATGTATGTATTTATTTGTTTCCCATTTTCTTATATTCCCAGCACACCCACCCATCCATCCATCCATCCGTGTATGTATGTTCCAATTCAATTCAATTTGAAATATGAATCAAGTCATCAATCATAAGCAAACAAACAAATATATTAACGCCATTCGTCCATCCATCCATCCATCCATCCATCCATCCATGCTATCAAGGAAAGTATGGCCGGTCCCATCAAAAGATTTTCTTCTCTTCTCTCCTCTCTTGTAGTACCCCCTTTTCATTCTATCCCAAACCCTGAATCTAGTCATCGAATTCACCCGGTTCCAATCTCCCTTCCTCTCTCTGTTCCCCAAGATTGAATTGTTGAACCCCCTCTACCAAGTCCGGCATCTTATCTACCGTCCCCTTACTGCTTGACTTTTTCGCCGCGTGTTCACTAATCCTCTGCAACTCGCTTACGAAACTTTCTCCCCACCATGAACTCGTGTATTTGAATACATATTTTTCCAATTTCTTGAAATTGATTTCTCTTTGTTCTGGAGACATTGTGACGGCATCATGGATAGCATCTGCAAGTTCTTCCGTATTCCATGGATTAACAATGAGAGCGCCATTGAGAGATTGAGCCGCGCCTGTGAATTCAGAGAGGATCATAACACCATGACGTTTACGTTGTGTGGCGATGTATTCGTAAGAGACGAGATTCATGCCATCACGAGTACTGGATACGAGACAGGCATCTGAAACGGCATAGAGAGCGGTGAGTTCATCGAAATTGACAGATTGATGGAGGAAATGAATAGGCATGAATTCAACGGTACCAAAGCGACCGTTGATACGACCGACGAGTTCGTTGACGACGGCGCGGAGATTTTGATATTCTTCAACATCTTGACGAGAAGGGACAGCGACTTGGACAAGGACTACCTTGCCGATCCATTCGGGATGTTCTGTGAGGAAGACTTCGAGAGCGTGTAGTTTTTGTGGGACACCTTTGATGTAATCTAATCTGTCAACTCCGACGATGAGTTTAACACCTTCGAATTTGCGCTCTAATTGAGCAATACGCTCTTCGACTTTTGGCTTTTTGAGAGTTTCAATGAACTTTTCGGGGTCGATACCAATGGGGAAAGCAGCTACTGTGACATATTTACCACGGAATTCGACACCATTGGGTGTTGTTTGTGTTTCCCTACTTATTATTAGTTGGAGTTTGTGAAGAGCAGGATTCATACTTACAAAATTCTAGAGCAGCTGCTAAGGAAATGTCTGGCATAATCATATGTATGGAACCCGATCAAATCGCAATGAAGAACACTCAACAACAAAGATTCTCTGACGGGTAAGATTCTGTAGATCTCACTGGAAGGGAAAGGTGTATGAAGGAAGAATCCAATCTTGACATTCTTCTTGCTCGTGCCGATTTCATCGCGCAACATTTCTGGAAGAAGCATAAGATGATAATCGTGGACCCAAATCAAATCACCATCTTGGACATCCTTAGCAATCGTTTTCGCGAATAATCGGTTGACCTCCTTGTATGCCATCCATTGTGACTCGTCGAATGTAATCTCTCCTGGGTGGTAATGGAATAGAGGCCAAAGGATAGAATCTATGAAGGCTGTTAGTGCTTGCAGATGTAATGACAGATGTAACCGGGCAGAGATGGTAGAAAACACATACTAGAGAATCCATTGTAGTGCTTATCGGCCAATTCATCATCGACGAAAACTGGATGAGCACCATGTTCGTCCTTCAATCTCTTAACCAAAGGCTTTGCTTCAGCATCTGGCACTTCCAAGCCTGGCCATCCATACCACTGGAATGTAGTCGTCTTTGCCAATCCACTCAAACCCGTTACCAATCCACCCGAGGAACCAGTGAATTCATATTGACCATCCTCAGTTCGTTTGATAGTGATGGGTAATCTGTTGGATACCAGAAGTAATCTGCTGGAAGCTTTGGGCTCCTCGTCAACTATGGAAGGCATGTTGTAGTTCTTTTCGTTCTATGATCGTGATGCAATGTGCGGCTGATGGCACAAGTAGAAGTAGAACTGGGCTAGATCAGATAAGTCAGGATTTTAAGTTGAGATAGATCTTCTTGAGATCCTCTTTAGATCTTTAGAGGAAGCTGTCAAAGAAGTAGATGATGGGAAGCTTCACAAGCGATAAACGGGTGTTTCCGGTAAGGCTAAATAGGTAGTATGAGTTGGATAAATTTCCACAAGGTGTGTGAGTGGTTTTCCTGTGAGTGGTTTTCTAGTTCGTTGGCAAGCTTGAGCTTGGGAGTGAATGAATTCCAAGGTTAATAAATAAACTTGGAAACCGTCCGTCCGTCCGTCAGTCAGTCAGTCAGTCAGACTTCAGTCAATCAGTAGGTACTAGGTAGGGTAGGTAGCTTCAGAAAAAAAAACAAAGGACAAAGATGTCTTCAATAGCGATTACATGAACTTTTCAAAGGGTGTGTGAAATTTCTCAGAAAGGGATTGAAGAGAAGAAGACCAAGCAAAAATATCTTTCACTCTATGATAGGAATATGAGTCTTATAAAAGGTTTGTGATATCTCTTTGCCTTTTTCGTTGTCAAGTACGAAGGAGGTATTTTTCGTTCCCCGCCAACAGGAACATGGAATATTCGCAGGTGGTGGGTGGGAGGTGGGCATCAATGATCAAATTAACAACCATTACCTCATCGGCGGAGAGTCTCAGGAGGTTTTCCTCCACCCCATGTGGAAAGTCACCGAGAAGGCATTCGAGAAATTACGAGAGAGTTCGAAGTGGATCCGGAATGTGAAGATATACTTCATTTCTTACTTTAAATGTAGACGGTGTCGATGGTAACCTGGGCGTTATTTTTATTTGTTGATATCAATCATGTAGATCTTCCTGGTGCTCTGCTGGTGCTGCAAATGTTCCTGTAAACTACAAAGTCCTACACTACCGAGTAGGTATAATAAAAACCGATAAGAAGATTATCCTTACCATACAATTTGACCCCGCAGTGAAGAAGGCTGACGAAGGAAGAATACCTACACGACGTAATCCAATTTAAACAATTATAAAAGGCTGCTTGAAGAAAAAAGGTTCTGATTTTGACATATTTAGATTATTATATCTCTATTTAGCATAATTATTATTATCGACATTATATATCAACTACAATATATATAACCTTACTATTCGCCAGCAATGTAAATCAATAAACCAAAGCTATAAAGGAATAAAAATATCTAATTAATTAATCATCTTGAATGAATCAAAGAAGTTCATCCATGGGAACATCATCTAATATTGATATCACCTATGGATAGCTCGGATAGGTAGGTATTCATGATATCCTCCTGCTCGAGTAATTGCGAACTACATTGGTATTTGAAGCTTGGCAGAGAGTACTCTTGTATATCTTCATGTATTGATTGCACCTCCCATCTAGACCTCACAAGACGTCTTTGAATTCATCAGTGTATACCCATCGGCTAAGTTTTCCTAGATGATGGCGTTCAATCTACATTTATCAATGTTCAAACAAAAAAGTCATCAGACGCAGGGTCGTCGTGGATTCTTCAGACAGCATACTCGCATCCAATGCTTTTTCCATGCGTAGAGAAATCTTGGGATAGCTTCCGGCTATATTGATCGTATCACCTACCGGCATAATTTTCCATTTTCCCACATCTATATCCCATTCACGCCGCAGTGTTGCAGCCAAACAATCAAATCATGATGTCTTGCGATTTCGGTCCCATTTGACGGGTGCCTAGATGTACTGCAACCTCATTGTGATATCAATCGTGAATTGGTGATAGAAATACCTAGGTTTCTTATCTATTTCCGGATTCACTTCTGTACAGCTTCCCCTCCGATAATCTCCCGGCCGATAATGGCTTCAAAAGTGGGCAGATATATGTTCACGGTTCAGAGATTCACAGAGGTTCGATCAAAGTATTTCGATCCAAGACAGACGAGGAAATACAAATTGTCGTACTCGGGGAAGAACAACATACCAATTTCGCCATGGAACTCCAACTTCGCCGAGCTACCGTCAATGACATCCCGCAACTTCATCCGCTGATTGATGCGTCGGTGCGAGGTCTCCAAGTCGAACACTATACGCCAGCCCAAATAGCCGGTGCTCTGAAATCAGTATACGGAGTTGATACCCAACTCATCCAGGATGGAAATTACTTTGTAGTGACATCTGGAGATACGATTGTGGGATGTGGTGGAATATCTTATAGGTCCACGTTGTATGGAGGTGATCAATTTGCAACTCGAGATTCAAAACTGTTGAATCCTGACGTAGATGGTGCCAGAATTCGTGCTTTCTTTGTTCATCCTGATTGGACACGAAGAGGTATTGCTGGTATGATTATTCGAGCTTGTGAGAACGCTGCGATAGAAGCAGGCTTTAAGAAGGCTGAA